TTTGGATCTGCTGAGGAAATTATTCAATGCTTCCATCTTTCTGTTGTTTCCTGTTTCCCAGTCAACAGTGTCCGTGTGTTGCTCCTTTAACTAGGCCGCAGTGCGCGCTGCGCTGATCATACTTTCATTAGGTGTTGTAAATGTGACGAGCCCTCGGCGGGCCTCCGGAGGATCCGCGATCATTCGTCTGTAAATCACAGTTTACGGCGGTTGATTGGAGGACATATGCTGCCAGCTAAACGCCGGGCGACAGAAACGGAGGAGGAAGCTTCACTTCGCCGCCCAGATCTGTAACGACACTTTAAAATAAAATCAGTTCAATCCAGTCATCCATCCCCAGTGATCCCAGTTACCAGTCAGTTCATTAAATTCATTATTAAAATCAGTTCCTAGCTACAGAAATGTAGCAGAGCATCAAATCTTTGACTGCCAGCTTTCATGTCCTCCTGACCCGCAGGGGCAGCAGAAGACAGGAAAAACTCCAATTTACCAAGAAGAAACTGCAACCAGAACCAGAACCTGGTTAGGTACCAGCTGCCATTTGCCACAAAAATAACCAGAAGAGCTGAAAGTTAACAGCAGGAGAAGCATCATGTCAGCTGATGCTCTCAGAACCTCGATGGGACAGAAGGAGAGGAGACACTGGAAAGTGAAGCCGTTCTTCAGCTCTTTGGTTTCGATTTTCCGTATCTCAACCAAAACTCAGATTCTTTCTCTGTGTTGGGCTCTGATGCTGAAGCTCTGGGTGAAACGATGAGTCAGGACGTGAACAAAGCCGCAGCCAGCTTTCTCTTCTTCTTCCTCAGTCCAGCAGCCAATTACGGCTTGGCTCAGTTTGTGCCATCAGGGAGCAGCTCACAGTGTCGCCTGAAGGCCGCCGCTTTGTTCTGCGGAGCGGATTCACTGGATCCAGTAAGGCCAGCCGAACGATGGCGAACTCTGGCCAGTGCAGCTGCAAAATCAAAAGGGAGGACATTTTAGCCAAAACACTGACATTTGTCCTCTTTCAGTTCTCAAAGTGGAATATTAGTGAGAAAAAAACTCAGAAATGTTCAGAGATTTATCTCTGAACATTCATTGAAAAAACTTGAAAATGTCCTGGTTTCAAAAGTTGAAAATGTTCAATTTGATATAAAGGAAGCCAGTGAAGGACTGCATGGTGTAGAACCGGGCGGAATTTCCCGTTTCCTCCAGGAGGAACTTCCTGTTTCCTCCAGGAGGAACTTCCTGTTTCCTCCAGGAGGAACTTCCTGTTTCCTCCAGGAGGAACTTGCTGTTTCCTCCAGGAGGAACTTCCTGTTTCCTCCAGGAGGAACTTCCCGTTTCCTCCAGGAGGAACTTCCCGTTTCCTCCAGGAGAAACTTCCCATTTCCACCAGGAGGAACTTCCCGTTTCCTCCAGGAGGAACTTCCCGTTTCCACCAGGAGGAACTTCCCGTTTCCACCAGGAGGAACTTCTCGTTTCCACCAGGAGGAACTTCCCGTTTCCACCAGGAGGAACTTCCCGTTTCCACCACGAGGAACTTCCCGTTTCCTCCAGGAGGAACTTCCCGTTTCCTCCAGGAGGAATTTCCCGTTTCCACCAGGAGGAACTTCCCGTTTCCTCCAGGAGGAACTTCCCGTTTCCTCCAGGAGGAACTTCCCGTTTCCACCAGGAGGAACTTCCCGTTTCCTCCAGGAGGAACTTCCCGTTTCCACCAGGAGGAACTTCCCGTTTCCACCAGGAGGAACTTCCCGTTTCCACCAGGAGGAACTTCCCGTTTCCACCAGGAGGAACTTCCCGTTTCCACCAGGAGAAACTTCCCGTTTCCACCAGGAGGAACTTCCCGTTTCCACCAGGAGGAACTTCCCGTTTCCACCAGGAGAAACTTCCCGTTTCCTCCAGGAGGAATTTCCCGTTTCCACCAGGAGGAACTTCCCGTTTCCTCCAGGAGGAACTTCCCGTTTCCTCCAGGAGGAACTTCCCGTTTCCACCAGGAGGAACTTCCCGTTTCCTCCAGGAGGAACTTCCCGTTTCCACCAGGAGGAACTTCCCGTTTCCACCAGGAGAAACTTCCTGTTTCCACCAGGAGGAACTTCCCGTTTCCACCAGGAGGAACTTCCCGTTTCCACCACGAGGAACTTCCCGTTTCCTCCAGGAGGAACTTCCCGTTTCCACCAGGAGGAACTTCCCGTTTCCTCCAGGAGGAATTTCCCGTTTCCTCCAGGAGGAACTTCCCGTTTCCTGCTACTCTTTCTGTGAATCTTCTCCCTCTGAGCTCATCTCCATTCTGCCTTCATCCTCACCTTCCTCTTCGTCTTCAGCAGCCAGGTGAGGTTCAGGGCCGTAGGACAAATGAATTACCAACATCAGATTAGAGAGAGGGGCGAGCGAGCGGCTGATGAATTATGGAAGCAACAAGAGAGTTGATTTAATGCCAGACCCTGGGAAAGGCTTTTAATGTGAAAGGAGCTGAGTGGAGACGTGTGTGTGTGTGTGTGTGTGTGTGTGCGTGTGTGTGTGTGCGTGTGTGTGTGTGTGTGTGTGTGTGTGTGTGTGTGTGTGTGTGTGTGTGTGTGTGTGTGTGTGTGACTGACCTTAGGTAATGCCAGATTTAAATGGTTTAGAAGGTCAAAGGTCAGTAAGCGTCTGTGTTTTCCTTCAGGACCAGAGAAAAGCAGCTGCTCTGACCTTCTGGGCTGATTTGGGTTTTTCTGCTCCGGTTGTTTCCAGGTTGCAAAACAACAGACATTATAGAGGAAACCTGGAGTGTTGCCTTGATTCTCCATGGCAACCCACTCTGCTCCTTCAGACTAGCCAGCAGCAGTTAGCAAACATCTACTGAGTTCATGATAGGAGATGCTGCTCAGAGGTAAAAATTTTGTTAAAACAGGAGCCATGTTGCAACAGTTTCCTGGAGGCGGAGCTTCAGAAAGAGGAGCACCTTCTTAAAGAGACAGAGCCCAATTTCAAGGCGTTAAATCAGGAAGTAAATTTTTTTGAGTCATATTTGATATATGAACACCTGAATGTATCATAGTTACTGAGCTATGAAATGACAAACGCGTGCCTCTGTCCCTTTAATAAAAACCTGACGGTAAAGTCAAAACATCCAGCTGGATCGCTAACTGAATGCTAACTGGCCTGGAAGCAGCTCAGAGTCTGATGCTGGGATGAACTGTATTTATTACTGATGATGTCAGAACTTCTTTTCCCCTGTTTCAGCTAAAGGTCAGAGGTCAACATGAAACCTGTGTGTTTCTGCTGATGGATCTGCGCCTCTCTTGTGTCTACTTCCTGTTTGTGTTCAGTTCCTCTTTGGCGTCTCTGCAGTTTTAGTTTGTTTGGTTTACATCCATAAAGTTCATCTTTATGGATTTTTAGATCTTTTGGACTCGTCTCTGCAGTGAGGCCCAGTCAGAAGGTTCTGGTTCTGGGATCGCAGACGTTGTAAATCGGCTCCTGGTTCCGCCTGATTTATCCGTGAAACGGGACAAACGTCCGTCTCTGCTGCAGCTTGACCCGATCGGTGTCAGCAGAGGCGCTGCGGGCCGGCGCCGACAAATAAAGGCTGAGTGAAAGTGAGACGGATGATGAAGATTAGAGGATGAAAGGAGCGAACGAGCCGTTAGCAGTCTGAGCGCGGAGTCATTGTTTCACAAATAAAATGATAATCATCATGTAGAATCCATCAGAACCGCCGACAGGAGCAGCCAGTCAGTAAGTGGAGCTTGTTGCTTTCTGCTTCATTTCTCCGTCTGCAGGAGAAAAACAGAGAGTTGATGAACGCCTGAGTGTGTGTGTGTGTGTGTGTGTGTTACAGAGTGAGTGTGTGTGTGTGTGTGTGTGTGTGTTACAGAGTGAGTGTGTGTGTGTGTGTGTGTGTGTTACAAAGTGTGTGTGTGTGTGTGTCTGTGTGTGTGTGTGTGTTACAGAGTGAGTGTGTGTGTGTGTGTGTGTCTGTGTGTGTGTGTGTGTTACAGAGTGAGTGTGTGTGTGTGTGTGTTACAGAGTGTGTGTGTGTGTGTGTGTGTGTGTGTGTGTGTTACAGAGTGTGTGTGTGTGTGTGTGTGTGTGTTACAGAGTGTGTGTGTGTGTGTGTGTGTGTGTGTGTGTGTGTTACAGAGTGTGTGTGTGTGTGTGTGTGTGTGTGTTACAGAGTGTGTGTGTGTTACAGAAAATGAGAGGTTGTAATGAAACAGTAATTGCAGCAGAGTCGGGGTAATTAAGTATTATTAGTTTCTCTGTTTCACCTTCAGAGCTCAAGTTCTTCCTTGACAACATCCGTCTGGTTGAGAACTCCGGATCGGAGCCAGTCCGGATCCAGGATGTTTTTCCAGGTCCAACTCTGAACAGCTGGTTCTGTAACTGGATCTGAATCTGCTTCTGCAGTTGTTCTAATCATGAAGCAGAGGTTGTAACATTTTAAGCACATTTATAGGCCACAGGGTCACATGGCAGGACAGGAGGAGCTGCAGACCAAACAGTTCCCTGAACCGATGGTTCTCCTCCTCCGGTTCCCTGAACCGATGGTTCTCCTCCTCCGGTTCCCTGAACCGATGGTTCTCCTCCTCCGGTTCCCTGAACCGATGTCTGCAGGATAAAATAAATGTTTTAAAATATACAGTGTAACATGTAAATATAGATATTTATACAACCATGAAATACAATAAATTGCAACTTAAATGATACTGAAATGAAAAACAAAACATATTTAATGCAACATTTTTCACATAAATCTTTCTGAACATTTTTGCAAAGATATAAAAATATTTGTTAAAAGTCTAACTAAAACTGAAAAAAATAACGATAAAAAATAATATATTTATAATAAATTGAATTATAATATATGATGTACAATTTATGTAATTAGATTATTTGTTATAGATAATAAATTATAGAAAATATATAATAGAATTAAAATTAATTACAATGACTTTTATAATAATTATTAGGTCATTTTTAAAATAAAAATATCTACAGTCATTGACCTATTAAAGGTCACAATAATAAAAAGGTTTGAATGAATTTATATTTTTTGTAAAACATCCCATAATATGAAGGTTTTGCTGTGAAACCTGCAGCGTTTTGAGCGCCAAATGACTGACCTTTGACCTTATTGGAATTAGCAGGACCTTTAATCCGGCGAAGGTCAGGCGATCAGCGGCTAATTAGAGGGAATCTGCTGGGAAAACAGAGTTTCTGCAAATCTTTCCTGAACGAAAGGTTCCTGGGAACGGATTGAATAACCCTGCGACCTTTCACGGCTCTGGTGTAATTACTGCGACCGGCGCCGCTCTCAGCCGGGTCAAACCCATTCTCCAGCAGGCACCGCTTTTTCTTCTTCATGTTTTGGATCTTCTTCCAGAAACCTGTCAGAAAATTCCCACGTTCTGCTTTGCGGCAAACGCACCGCAGGAGGCGAGGCAGACGGTCCGAGTTGGTTGAAGCAGAAATCCGTTTGATTTCCATAATGCTGCAGGTTTGGTTTTTCTCCTCAGATGAATTGCAGCTGAACATTTTTCCTTCTGACTCCTCCGCTCGTTCCTTTCAGATCCCTCAGATCAGCTACGCATCCACGGCCCCGGAGCTGAGCGACGACCGCCGCTACGACTTCTTCTCGCGCGTGGTTCCTCCAGACAGCTTCCAGGCGCAGGCCATGGTGGACGTCGTGAAGGCCATGGGCTGGAACTACGTCTCCACCGTGGCGTCTGAGGGCAGCTACGGCGAGAAGGGGGTGGAGGCCTTCATGCAGCTCTCCAGAGAGGCAGGTGAGTCCGGGCCGGTCCTGAAACCAGAACCTGCTGGTTCCCGGTGAAACCGGAACCTGCTGGTCCCTGGTGAAACCGGAACCAAACCGGAACCTGCCGGTCCCTGGTGGGTCCATTTCCATCAGGACTGACACACTGAGACATTGCGCCATGAGCTGAAGGTATAAGCTGTGATTTCTACCAGCTCACCTCCAAACTTGTGCTTCCGTTGGACTTTTCCAAAATAAGTCAGCTCATCGAGGACAAAACGTTTCAGCAAATCTTAATCAGCGTTTCTATTCAGCAAAATTGTTTATGAAATTTCAAATTGTGCAATTATCTGGTCAGAGGAAACGCAGAAACAGAAACTGCCAGAAAACGTAGCAAGTCATTTGTGTTCAAAGCACAAACTGCTGAAGAAATAAAAACCATCAAAAGTGATCAATAGGAGTGATTTCCTTTGAGCCGCACAGATGAAGTCTGTTGATGTGAAGTTCTGCTGACTCTTTGGTTTTCCTGCAGAAGGTTTCTGCTTGTTGTGAACGTGTGACTCACCCCTTCATTCCTCAGAAACAGGGTTCATGTTGTGATCGGGTCGTTGCAGGGCTGCACCAGGTCAATAACTGGCCGTCGTTCATGGACACCAACTTCCTGTTTCTGTGCGTCGGCTTGATTTACGACGTTATTAAATCTGCGGACTCATCTTCATGAGTAAATTCTGGATTTTATTTATTTATTCACAGAAAAACAAGCAGCAGATTAATGAAGATTTAACGCCACCAACTGTGACCAGAGTCCCTGCTGCAGCCATGCAGTTTCCCATGGCGGCGTTTGCTTTCAGACATCGGGGCCTGGACCCGCTAACAGAACCAGAACCAGAACCAGAACCTGAACCAGAACCTGAACCTGAACCCAGCTAACGGTCTGGACCCGCTAACAGAACCAGAACCAGAACCAGAACCTGAACCTGAACCCAGCTAACGGTCTGGACCCGCTAACAGAACCAGAACCAGAACCAGAACCTGAACCAGAACCAGAACCTGAACCCAGCTAACGGTCTGGACCCGCTAACAGAACCAGAACCAGAACCTGAACCAGAACCAGAACCTGAACCCAGCTAACGGTCTGGACCCGCTAACAGAACCAGAACCAGAACCTGAACCAGAACCAGAACCTGAACCTGAACCCAGCTAACGGTCTGGACCCGTTAACAGAACCAGAACCAGAACCAGAACCTGAACCAGAACCAGAACCTGAACCCAGCTAACGGTCTGGACCTGCTAACAGTGTTTGTAAAGTTACACATGAAAAAATAATATGCAATAATTTGAGGTTTAAATTTTAGCTGCTATTAGAAAAAACATTTTTGCGTTTTCAAAATCTTATTTTCTCCGTGTTTTTTCTTTTTGCAACAATCACAGTTTCAAACTAACTATTTAGCAAGCTACACATTGGGATGATGAGCTAAGTATTTAGCTCTAGGCTAAAAGTTCTGAGCCAAAAAAATTAGCTTCAAATGTAATATTTAACTTTGAGCTAAATATTTAGCTAACATGCAAATTCACTTGCTAATATCGGAAGTGGACTTCCAAAATAAAAGCTGAGTCTTCATAACTTTCTAAACTCCTGCTGTCGAATCGCTTCATTTTGCTTCTGTTCCTTTTTTGTCCAACATTTAAACTGAAAACGAAGGATGAACCGTTTGAAAGGCAATGCAGCAACAGAGATGCAGCAACAGATGCAGCAACAGATGCAGCAATATTCAGGAAGAGAAGGTTGAAACACCCAGCTTTTATTCTGATAATCCAATCTTGCTTATTGCTAAGTGAATCAGCTAAACCTCTAGCTCTGAGCTAGCTAGAGAACCAAGTAAGTATTTAGTTTCTAACCACCAGACATGATGCTTTTTGATCAGTTCAGAGTCTGATTTCAGTTTGAAGCTGAGGAATATTTTGTTTTTCTATTTTCTGTGTGTGTGTGTGTGTGTGTGTGTGTGTGTGTGTGTGTGTGTGTGTGTGTGTGTGTGTGTGTGTGTTGTGTGTGTGTGTGTGTGTGTGTGTGTGTGTGTGTGTGTTCTGGGTCTCATTGAATCCAAAAAGCCAAACGAAATGCTGCAGATCAACTGTTGACTCACAGAAGCTTGAAAGGAATTCATTCTGTCTCCCGTGTCGCTGATCGCTCTCTGAATAATCTCGCTGACATTTCCAGCAATCTGATGACTCTCCGCGGCGCGGCGGTCAGGAGCATCCTGACATTTGCGCGCAGGAGTTTTTAGGGGATTATGAAAGGAGCAGAGCGCGGAGGACGCCCCGCAGATCCAGCCGCGGCGGGCGGCGCCTGCACCGGTTCAGCCGCGGAGCGTTGATCTGCGCGGCTTTAACTGGACTGGATTAAATGAAGTCCAAGCGGCGCCTCAGCGCTCCTTTAATGGAAATGTCAGAAGAAACTAATCAAACTGAGGAGCTGAGACAGTTTCAAAGCTTCAGCAGAAACGTTTCAGTCAGCGGTTCTGGTTGCCAGAGTCAGTGGACCGCCTCATCAGAATCAGAACCGCAGATTTTACGCTCTTCACCGTCATTGAGATGCACGCCCACACACACACACACACACACACACACACACACACACACACACACACACACACACACACACACACACACACACATTTATTGGATGTTTTGGTCTGAATCAGTTTTTCTTCTGATTAATTAAATCATCACCTCAAGCATCTTTTTGTATTTTACTGAGATATTAAATTGATTTGATCTGAAACATTTCAGGTTTTCATGTCCTCAGCAGCAGCAAGCCGTCATGTAAAACTGGTTTCCAGTCAGACCGAATAACGGACTGGGTCGGCTCTGACACGGTTTCCTCTGAATCAGCAGGAGAGGAAGCTGCTGACGGGCCTGAAGGAGGAACCAGCAGCTTCTCTTGTCCTATTTGCTTCCTCAGCCGCAGGATGATTTAATTCAAATGTTTGCATCTGCAGCGTCAGACTGCTGCAGGATCACAGACTGAAGGAAAACAGCTAAAAATGTGTCAGATTTTCATTTCTGCCAAAGTTTACATAACTTACTGATTCTGCCGCCGGGCGAAGCTCCGGGGTCATAAAGTCGTAAAAGTTCTTTATGGATATTCCCAGGTTTCTATTTAATTATGAATTAATGTTAGTCTTTCCTCTGGGGTCTGAAGCTGCGCCACAAACAGCAAACGAGCGTCGATGTGCAACGATCAGCCTGGAAAAGCAGATAAGTTTCTGATAAACGACTCGGTTTTATGGTGAGAGCCACAAAAAAACTGAAAGTTAAAATGAGCAAAAGACAGAACAAAGTTTTTCGCTAAACTAAACTGTAACAGATTCCCTCCAGACGGGGCGGCTGCTGATTCTGAACCATCATTTTCCACATTTCAAATGGAGGAGCTCTGCAAAAAGAACCATTTCATTCAATCATAAACATATTCCAATTAAACCTAGTTATCAGTTAACGCATCAGCTTGCAGCATTCAGTCCTCCTGACCAGCAGGGGGCAACAGTGGAGAGGAAATCCTCTCCTTTAAAAGGAAGAAACCTCCAGCAGAACCAGAACCGGGCTCGGTTCCAGCAGCCATGGAGGTTTGAGAGGAGAGGGACAGAGAAGCAGAACTTCCTGTTCGCCGGCTGCTCTGCAGAGAAAACACAAAGTTAACGTAAAGTAACAGGAAGTAATGCTTATTGGAGAGTAGTAGGAGGAGAAAGTGTGGTTCTCTGAAGACATTCTGACACAGTTCATCCTAAACGTCCTTGTTTAACTTCTCCGTTTCCGACTGTGTTCCTGTAATCGGGCCGTTAGCGTCGCAGCAGCAGCTCGTCCTGCAGAATGTCAGGGTGCAGAGGAGACGTTTAATGGCGTCCTGCAGGCAGCATGAATATTTAATCTGGTCGCTTCATCTGAGCTGCAGCTGCTGCTTCACATTAAAACGCGCCTGGTTTCAGATGCCCTCATAAACCAAACATCCAGCAGCATCTGGTGGCTGCAGCTCTGATCCAGGTGAGGATCCTGTAGATCTACAAGCTCCAGACACTGAAGCTGTTTGAGTTCAAAACGAGAGCAGAAACTCAACCTCCCGTTCAAACGGTTCCTGAACACAGGCTGTTCAGGTCCAGTTACTCTGAAAGCAAAACGCGACCTTCATGCAGAACCGATAAGTTTGAGGACTGATGGGGATTTAAAGCCTCTGGTAGCTGAACTGTGATGATGTGATGAAGAGGAAAACATTAATAATCTGCTGAATCCTGCTAGCAGATTTTCTCTGAATGAGACTCAGACCTTCAGTCTGTTCCTGTCATGTTGCTGTGATGCAGAAGCTCTGCAGAGCTTCACATCTAGCCTGTGGCTACATGTTTTTAACACAATCGCATTTTGTTCTTTTTATCAGACAAAAGTTGGATCTGAAACCTTTCAGTCTGCATGTTTCTGGTTCGCCTGTAAAGCCGATGCACAGCAGCAGCCCTGGACACACACACACACACACACACACACACACACACACACACACACACACACACACTCAGCACACTGGGTTTTAATTTGATTGTCGTTTCTAGTTGTGCTACAAAGACTTAGCCTTTGAGTGAAGCTGTGCTAGCTTAAAATAGCATGTCATGTAGCAGCTAATGCTAATGTCAGTGTCCAGATTTCTAAAGATCAGGGAAAGTCTGGAAGACATTTTGCTCCAATCTGATGGTTAAAGAACCTGAATAACAGATTCAAATCGATCTCATGTTTGTTTAATTAATAATTTAGCAGAAAAAAGTGTTTTTGAATTGAAGACTTTGCTTAATTGAGGAGCCACAGATCCTGCAATAAACCCAATAACGTTTTTAATCCCGTTCTTCCACTGATTATTTTCTGACCCTCTGAACAGTGGCGGAGCTAGACTTTTTTCAAGGGGTGGCCAAAGGGTGAGCAAGGCTTCATCAGAGGGTCCATATACAAATGATGAACGAAAGGAAACAAATATTTTCTCTCACACACTCAAAT